GTGATAGACACGAAAGTAGAAGGACACTAGTAAACTTGGTCAGAAAAGGGCGTAGCATTTTCAGTAACACTACGACTTAACGAGTGAATAGGCCAGATAAGGCTAATGTCTACACTTGTGTGCAAACTTGAGCAATTTTCCAAATGCGAGATGGATATCATACGTGGCATCATTAAGCAAGCTCACGATACTGACACGATACTGACACAGGGGTCATGAGTACACGGTGCTACTGGATTTTTAACTATGGTCACTAACACTATAATTACAGCTCCTACTGTTACCCTGTTTTTCGTTATCCATTCCAAAATGCTTTTTCTCATTCTTTCTTCTCCTTTAATTTTTGCCAGTTCTAAAAAAATACTTCCAAAGATATAGATTAATATTATAGATTAATATTATTTTAAACCCCAAAAGAAAATTTGGGGGGAAGGGAAAAAAACCTCTTTTAGAGAAAAAGTCGTACGTAGCCGTTAAGTTTGAGATGTATTTTTTAAAACTTTTTATTACACAGAAGTAGAAAGAGCATTCTAACCCCCTTGGGCCCAGCAGCCTGCTTTGATAACTAGTAACTCATGGGACACTAATGACCTCATCTACAAAACAGAAACAGACTCTCAGACTAGTAAACAGTCTTCCAGTTACTCGGGGAAAAGGGGCGGGAAGGGATTAAACTTGGCAGTTTGAGATTTGTAAATGTTAACCACTATATATAAAAATTGATTAAAAAAATTTCTTCTGTATAGCACATGGAACTATATTTAATATCTTGTAATAATCTTTAATGAAAAAGAATATGAAAATGAATATATGTGTATATATATGCATGACTGGGACATTGTGCTCTACACCAGAAACTGACACATTGTAACTGACTATACTTCAATTAAAAAAAAAAACTGTAACTCATGGCTAAGCTTGTTTTATCAGTAGACCCAGCCTCACCCCCAACATCAGATTATCTGGAAGCAGAAATCCCAGATCTCATATAATTTCATCTGCAAATATTAAAATTAAAAAAAAAATTAAAGTTTCAACAAAGCAAAGTATTATAAGGGCCCCCTACCGTCAAGGGCGAGTCCTCTCTTAGACTGTGTATTAACCTTACCTTTGCCTCATTAACGGAATATTAATGCAATTAGCAGCAGCTACCGCAGCGAAGGGAACAAAACGTCCTATGAGCGGAGAGACGTGCTGCAGAAAAGACAATTCCAAGAGCAACATCTTATTTTTCCCACAGGACTAAATGGAAATACTTCTTTCCTTCTCCAAAACGGCTGACCAGGCAGAGTCCCATTTGGGCAGAACCTCAGGGCCAAGAGCACTTTCAAAACTTGTTTCCCGGAGGTATTTTTATATTTCCGGCATGGTCACATGGGGATAAGGCAGACTTCCAAGATATTTTGATGGCTTCGTGTGGATGATGGAAGGGGGGCTTTGCAGTCCCTGAGTCTTGGTTTCAGAGGCTGACTCCACCTCTCAGAGATGTGGCCGGAGGCACGCAGCCCAGCACGCAGCCCCCAATAGGCTGTTCGCGTGGGTGAGCATTTAGCCCATCACACACAGGGCCACGTACAGACCAGGGCCCTGGCTGATCTTATTAGTGACCCCCCGCTTCCCAAGCTTATGGAAGATAGACTTAAAATATGCCGTTGAAGATAATGATGGTAAGAAGACCATCACAGGACTTGAACCATTTTGAGAAATAACAGAGGGACTTAAAGAGTCAGCAGGTGAGAACTAAGAAGCTTTGCTATGGAAGCAGAAGCCTGAGTACCTTGGTTAGCGCGTTGAGTCCTAGAGCCGTTGCCACTGCACCTGTGGTGGCAGAGACGTACGCTGTCCCCAGTTCGCTGAAAAGAAGGAAAATAGTACGTGAACAACGAGGGAATCTCAGGACACCCAAGTCCAACACTTTGGGAAAGAGCATGATTAAGAATGGAGATTCAAGGGAGTGGGTATAGCTGAGTGGTAGAGCCCATGCTTAGCATGCACGAGGTCCTGGGTTCAATCCGCAGCATCTCCATTAAAAAAAAATTTAAGAAAAATGGAGATTCCACAAAACAACATTCATTATCACTCCACAAGTAGAGATACTCATAGAAAAAGCAAGCAGAGCTGCACAAAAATGGCATTCTTCACATATACCCTAACTACAGTGCCACCCAAGTAGACATACTAGAATATGTATGGTGGGGTGGGGTGGGGTGGGGTGGGGAAGGAGGGGGGCCGGATCGCAGGAAGCTGCAAACGAGGGGAAATGCATATTGGTCTAAATGTCTGGAGCGTATTTGCTCAAATAAGAATTATTCTCAAAATATCAATACTGAAAGTAAAAATGCAGTGCTGTCCTTCTTAAAACGACATCTTATTGTATAAAAATACTGTCTCATTCTGAAAAGGCAGCGAAGCCCAAGCAGTCCTCTCTCGTTTCAAAATAAATTTTAATTCAAGGATTGGGCGAAATGAAGGTGTGATAGGCGTGGCTGGGTTGCAGATGTCAACACCCTCTGTTCCCTAGGATGGTAACAGACGGACACGGGCGGTCAAAAGCACTTTGCGAGTTAAAATGAAAAGGAAAACACTTTGAAGTGTTACACAAGTTAGGCTAAAAGGTTTGGTGAACTGATCTCTCTAGACTAGCTAAACTTTTTTTTTTTAAACGAGAAGTAACATTTTAAATCCATTCATTTTCTTTTGGGCTCCATAGATGACCTATTTTAAAGACAAATCAGATACAAAAGTCCCCTTGGTTTCCGCAGAGATCACACTGTGCGGCCGCTACTCCTGACGGCCGGCTTATCTGTCCACGCGAACAGCGTAGACTGCAGGGGGTTACAAGTGGCCGCTCCCTACATTCCGTGAGCTGCCCGCTGTGTGCTGTGTGGGGGATGGTGGGGAAGGAGCCCCAGGGTGTGGGGGGCTTATACCCCTACCAATACCACCAACAGCATAACGGACAACCCCCGAGCAAAAGCAGGCTGCAAAAAACCTGTCATCTTGATAGAAAGGGAGGAAAAGAAACACTTCTGAAAAATATGCTCCCTAAGGCTCTGAACAATGTGAACACTTGATACAGAGAGACTTTTTTAAACAGGAGAGCATGGCCACTGAATCAAATGAGCAGAGGATGGTCACATCGTACGGTCATACTTTACAGTGAGGGGCGCGTCTCCGCTCCTGTTGGTGTAGTTGACCACGGCGTTGAAGGACTGGTTAATCCACTGCCAGAACAGCACGGCCGGCGTGGTCCTAGAACAGAGCGACCTGTCACACGCCCACCGCCGCTGGGACCCCGGCACCGCGCACGACATGAAAGGGCAACACCAGGAACCAGAGGGTCAGAGAAGGGAGAACGCTGGGTCCAAGGCTTAGGATCGCTGGGGCTGGGCAGAATTTAAAGCTGTCTGACTCTTAGTTCCCTCATTTGTTAGAGGCGGGCAGCAACAAAGTCAGTGGGTTACGGGGAGAATGGAGTTAATGGAGTTAAATTTTATCTTCAATCTCTAAAGAGCCTGGCAGAGAGTAGGCACTCAATTAATGTCAGGTCCCTCCTCTTGGGGAAAAAAGCCATTTGCAGGCTAAGTTGTTCTGGTCCCTCCTCACCGCATGTGGAAGCCTAGATGTCTGCACCCACACCTATACTTACACCTGTATCATAAGAATGGATTAAAAGGAGAATTTGCTTAGAGGCTCTTTTTATTTTCTTTCTCATTTTCTTTTGGGTCTAAGATTTGGGAAAAACTCAACCTCCTTTGAGCCACAAGGAGAGTAGCTTTCGTCAGAAGGAAACAGGAAAACAAGCCCCTAGACCTACATTTATACAAAATGAAACTCCCCACGAAATGATACTTATTTCAAGAAAACAACTCACATACAAAGACGTACTTTAAGCTTCTGTAACATAAAACAAACTGACTGCTGTCCCGTTGCCATAACTTGCCTGTAAAAGGTCATCATGCAGCCTGTGATGGTCATGTTCATCGGGACCTGGGCTGACATCCTTCCAATCAAAATCATCTTCTCTCCGGTGTCGGGATGAAAAGCTGAATCGTAGATGTACTTCGCTCTCCACAATTCATTTTCTGTAAGGCCCGAAGGAACGATTCCCTGTCTAGAAAGACAATAGCAAACAACATGGCAGGTGTCCATTTCGGAGACCTCACAAGTGCTCCAGGAACAGGCAGCTAGAAGGTTTTCAAGTTTAAATTTACCTCGAACATCTGTGCCCAGATGGTGTGACCAATCTATTCCGTAGAGTCAGTGAAATTTTAATAGCCGATACTACACAATAAACACTTAAAATGGGCATTTCTCAGGGTCCGGCAGCAAAGTTTACAGACCGCCCTGGGTGTCCTCCCTGACTCCCCACGTGACAGTCAAACATGGCACGTTTAGGCTCAGGGCTCCCACTTAAACCAGTTCTCAGCTTTTGCCCAACTCTCCCCAAGAGCAGGAATCAGCAAACTGGCTGTGGCCTGTACACTTTGCTAGCTAAGAGTGGTTTTTATATTTCTTAAAGGATTGTAAAACAAACAAAAAGCCCTGGAAAACAAACAAAAAACCCCCAAGAAGTTAGGAAGAATATGCTATGTTCTGCAGAATAAGACAGAAACCCTTTATGGTCCACAAAAGCCTGGACTATTTCTTACATGGTCTTCTATCAAGAAAGCTGCGCGTCCACCAACAGATGAAGGGATAAAGAAGATGTGGTATAGATACACAATGGAATACTACTCAGCCATAAAAAGAATGAAATCTCGCCATTTGCAACCACATGGATGGACTTGGAGGGCATTATGCTGAGTGCAGTAAGTCAGACACAGAAAGACAAATACTGGATGATACTACTTATATGTGGAATCTAAAAAATATGACAAACTAGTGAAGATAACAAAAAAAGCAAACTCACAAATATAAAGAACAAACTAGTGTTACTAGTGGAGGGGTGGGCATTACAGAGGTGGGGGAGTGGAAGGTATAAACTACGGGGTGTAAGACAGGTTACAAGGATGTGCTGTATAACATGAGTAACAGAGCCAATATTTTGTAATAACTGTAAGTGGAGTGTAACCTTTAAAAATTGTATACAAATTTTCTTTTTAATTAAAAAAAAAAGTCGGCACCACTGTCTTAGAGCATATTTCTTCTCCCGCCTCATGCCTGGCCCTTTGAGCTGAAGGGAGTCCATCCCAAACCCATAAATCCTGCCATCAGCATCCTTCCCGTCTGAGAGCCCACCTGTGGGGTTTATTCATTGGGGTTTTATCTCAGAAGCAACCAACCTACCCTAATTTGTGACAACTTGCTTTTTGCATGATGTTGTCTCCATCTGGAGACAGAAAGATGTGGATGCAGGGGTGGCTGTACTGGAGAGCAGGAGGCAGGGAGCTAGGAGAGAGGACCTCACAGATTGGTACCCATGAATTGGAGGGGTGGCTGTCTTATTTTCAGGTTATTACAAACCCTGGGGGGGAGCGCAGAGCTCGGTGGTAGAGTGCATCTTAGCGTGCATGAGGTCCTGGGCACCAATCCCCATTAAAATAAATAAACCTATATACCTCCCCCCAAAACAAAACAAAACAAAACCCCAAAAAAGAAACAAACCCTGGATATTTGTGTTAAGGGTCAGCAATGGGGGATAAAACACGTCTTCCTATTTCTTACTTTTTTTTTGTAAAAATAATTGCAAAAAAAAATGTTGAAAAATCACTAAGGGAAGGTTTAAAGACAACAGGCTAACATGATGACCCATTACTGTGTTAAGTCAAAAAAGCATAATTGCTAACATTACCTGTAATCATGCACCACTTTTCTTGCATCCTCTAGCTGCTCATTGGTTAAGAGAATATTCCTGGGGTCAGTCACAGTGAAGAAATGATTGGCTCGTCCAACAAAAGTGCTTTGATCCCATCGGGGCTCTCTGATGTTAATGTTTGGTGGGAGTTCTCCAGACATCGTCCTGGACTGTGGAGGGTCAAACAGATAAGCCTGCTCAAGACTTACAATGTCACTGTACATTTAGAAACTCTGTATTCACACTAATCTTCAAAGAAAGAGTTAAGTACATTCCTAGTTACAAAAATAACTTTGCTATAAACGGCAGAAAGACGTTCTAAATCCAAAGCTACATTTGTCTGTAAATCTCAATGAAGCTTCATCAAATTTCAGTAATTGTCTCATGCACTTCTTTTTATAAGTACACAGTATCTCATCATCCCTTACTTTTGGAAATCTATAAATACTTTAGGGAAAAAATAACAATGTAAAAAGTTAAAAATAACATTCATAGTAAGAGGGTCTGAAGTTCGAAACCCTTTTTCTGGATGAAATAACCAACCAACGTCAAACTACTGTCGCCTTCTGGTTTACTAAATTTGTTATTCCTACGAGTAGAAGTGACTCATTATGCAAAAAGGGCTCACACGCTAAAAATTCTACAATTAAAAAAAGATGCAGATTCATTCAGCCTTATTCGGCATATAAACTACCAATCAAAAATGAAAAATTCTGTTCTTTAATCTAATGGGGTCATAGTGGGAAAAACACATTTTGACAACCCTATGAATGGTAATGGCATGGTGCATGTAATTTTCCTTACAAAATACTTATTTTCTGGCTAAGAACCATGACTCTTTTCCCAAAAGTAACTAATATCTTTCTCTGAGTAACACATGCTTATTTTTAGAATTGCTCTGTATTGCTGTAACACACGTTTATTGTAGTATTTTGAATAATATAAGCTTATTGTAGGAAATAAAGAAGAAACAAAATCTGCTATAATTCAGCCACGCTTGAAATAACCATTGTTGACATTCTGGTATATTTCCTTGCAGACATTTTCTATACATATTATCATTTAATTAAAAAAAATAAAGTTGCCATCATATTCTGTACTTTAATATCCTAATTGTTTCTTGCACTTATTTCAAGAGCATTCCCTACGGCACAGAATATTCATTTTGGGTATTTAGCAACACCTACAATGTTTATGTTCCTTTCCATTTGTCGCCATGATAACGAAAGCTGTATCCTTGTCTACTAATCTTTTTCCTTGTAGATGGTGACTTCCTTGAACTAGAATCTCTCTATATGCTATGAGCAGGTCAAAGGATCTTCTCTCCCTTAAGGCTTCAAACCATTGCTTTCTTGTACCTGTTCCCTTTTCTTCCAGTTCTAATAATGGTTCTAATAGTGGCTTTCTTTTCCAGGTCATTTTTCATTATCTTTCAGTGCTTCACTAGTTCGTAGGTGTGTTAGATGTCAGGTGCAGAGGCCTGTCACCTGTACTTCATCAGAATCTCAAATTAACACACGTCATGGCCCACTGGGTCAAAGTCGTGTGTCAGGTCCACAGACGTGAGGAAACGAGATTCCTACGTGAAACTGAAGCAGCTGGTCAGTGCGAGTGAGAAAGTCAAAAATCAGCCCCAGCACTCATACAGCAGGCTGGGAAGACGCACACACACAAACTCAGCTGTGCAGTCAGTGGGAACCCATGTTTCTCCCAGCGTCACGATGCAGCTGTCAAGTGTCAGGACAATCCCCTTCCCTGGGTGACCACCGCTTTCTCATCTCGCTGAGAAACCTGGTTCTCCACAACCGCAGACTGTCAGAAACTCTGCTGTCTGAAATCGTGCCAGGAAGAATGGAACATCCCACTCTTGACACAGCAAAGGAGCCTCCGTTTCCAGGCCAGGTGCGGAGTACCTGATGAGGGAGTTTCTGGATACATTACAAGTCTTGTTAACTTTGCAGTTTCCAAGGAAACAGGGCCATGGGGCTACCTCACAGTCCAGATCTTTACACCCAGCCCTGCTTTGAGCCCATCAAAATATTGCTTCATTATACTTCCCTCCTCGGGGCACTGTCCCTTCCCGCAAAGCCGCCGGCACAGACTGGTGGTTCCAACCAACGGAACACACTGCAATCACCTGGAAAACGTCTGAAAAAGACACACACTGTCTTTCTTCGGATCCAGGAGGTCTAGCATGGGATTCTGCAGGCGCCCTGGGTGCAGAGCTCCAGCTCCCTCTGCATGAAGCTGGGGGCTGCTTCCTTCCCTACATCTCTCCCTGCTCTGCCTACGCCTTCCCTCAGGCCTGGGCAATCCGCAGTGCCCCCCAGGGGATATCTGATACAGATTTTTTGTCTCATAAAATTCAGTACCAAGTATCTTTCTTCCCTTTAAGGTATAATTCTCACTTTCACCATTCATTCCCCCTTTATACTTCATGTATGCAACAAAAAATTTTTTAAATGTAGCTTTCATAGAGTTCTCAATAACAAACCATCTCCAATCTGTTAAACAGAAGGCAAACTTTAGGTCAAGTCATCAAAACATGATCTGGTTTTATAACATGGTACTTTATAAAATAAAACTGTTCTAATTGCATAAGAGCTGGGTAGGGCCTTAAAATCGATCTACCCACTGTGCTGATCACACAGATGAGGAAACAGAGGCACAGAGCGGGAGGCATCTTGTCCGGGTTGGGCCACGGGCGCTGGCAGCAGAAGGAGGTTGGGGACAACCCAAAGCCAGACTGGATTCCTGGGCACTGGTCAGCCAGTTCACTCTTTTGACTACATTATTTCCTTTTAGCTACTTCCCTCTCCCCCAACAAAGTATATCAACTGATGTCTGCACAGAATCGGTAGCTTTGAGGCCCTCCTTTTTCCTTTTAAATGAAAAAGTGTCCACTCACATTATGAAGTTCTGCACCAAGATAACCCAATGGTGACTGTGGAGGCCCCACAAGGTCTCCTCCGGCAGGAGGAGCAAAAGCAGACAGACGGGAAAGGAACCCCAACATTTCTGGAGTTTCTGTTACATACAAGGAACTGGGCTAGATGCTTGCCAAAAGTGCAAGCTCCTACTATGTGCCAGCGGCAGCACATTCTGTGTCAGTTTTCACAACGGTGTGCTTTATGCCTACCATGCACCTTTAACAGGAGCGGGAAGTGCAATTCTGAGATGTCACTCACAAGCACCCCTTGGTGTACCCAGCTTAGGGAGGAAACCAGCTTACCTCCAGCCTCCAGGTGAAGCCCACCAAAACCCCAACACTGGAAGCTCACATGGTCCATTCTGCACAGACCTGCGGTGGGCAGAATTATGGCTCCCCAAAGACGTCCAGGCCCCAGTGCCCACAGACCCTGAATATGTCACCTTACATGGCAAAGGGACTTGGCTAGTGTGATTAGGTTAAGGGTCTTGAGACTAGGAAGCTAGCCTGGATTATTCAGGGGGGCCTGATACCAGCACAAGGGTCCCTACAAGAGAGAGAGGGAGGCAGGAGAGGCAGTCGAGAAGCAGAGGGGAGGTCAAGGACAGGTTGGGCTGGTGCGGGGCCACCAGCCAAGGAAGGCCATGCCCTCTGGAAGCTGGAAACAGAGTGGAAACAGGTTCTCCCCAGAGCTTCCAGAAGCAACACAGAACCAGTTTTTAGACTTCTGACCCCTAGAGCTAAAAGACAATATACATTTATTCTAAGGTATGACATTTGTGGCAATACGTTAAGTAGCAATAGGATGTTAACACAGCACTGTTTTCCGTACTTAAAAAGGACCTTAATGGAACTAGACACGGACGTAAGAAATACCAACTAGACGGGACAGCCTGTCCCCGCCCCCGCCAATTTCAAAACCTTTACAAAGGCTAATCAGGAATGCCATAACAACAGTCTCACAGAGACAGCTGATCTCAAAGCAGACACGATTCTAATTATTAACTATGAATCCCATGTTCCAATTAGACAAGCATTTTCACACATGAACCTTCAAGCACAGGAACAGTTTTTACTTTTTTCCACTCCAAGTAACCAGTTTCTAACCATTAGGAGTCCTAGTTTTATTGGCTGCCATGCCCGGATCCCTGGGGCCTGTCCCCTTTCCGCCCCACTGACTGCTGGGGCTTGGGGGTCCTGGTCACTTGGTCGGAGGTCTGCAGCATCCCGGGAGCCCATCGGCTGGCGGGCGGCCTTGGATGCTGCAGTCCGTGCTTAAGGGTTTCCACCCTGCACACTCGGTACCAACCGACCCCAACCGACGGATGGAGGGGTGAGCCGGGCTGTGAGGCAAGGGCCGCAGCCGGCACCTTCTTGGCAAGAAAGCCGCGTCCCCAGGATGGTAGGGGAAGAATGGATTTGGCGTCCCCCTGGTCGGATTTATGCAGAAAAAGCGCAGCCATCCTTGAACTTGCCGGCCATGAACTTTCCTCCCTCTGTCCCCACTAAGGGTGAAACTGGTCAGAGACCAGACACTTTTTCAGTGTTCTTAAGCACCGCTAACCACGCGGTTCTGACAGATTTCAAGACAGGGGATGGTGACAGTTTTTCAAGTGCTTCTCAACGAGGAATTTCTGCAGAGGACACTGGGTAAGTCAATCTGCTGTGCTGCCCTCAGGATGACACTGGGGACAGCACGAAGGATTGCAAAGCCACAGTGGCTCAAAAGACAGTTTCAGAGAACAAGATACATCTTCCAATTGCAGAGGTGGCAGGAATAAGGGAAAATGCTACATCTCAAGGGGACAGACTGCACGGGACGCCGAAGAGTGTGTGCTAGAAGGTGAGTTTATCAGCTTTACACCCCAAACAAGTGAAAGGTGCCCTGGAGGGACTCCGAAGACACCAGTGGGAGGATCTTCTCTTTGACACATCTACCTGAGGCTTTGACAGTTAAGCAGAATGGCTGAAACAGCTTCAGAAATTCAGAGAGGCCACGGAAGGAGAGGCGGGAAGGGTGGAAACATCACAGATACTGACAGACTAAGTGAGGAGCTCCCCAGGAGAATTTTACTAACCAGGTACCAGCTGGTTTAACAACCGCAGGTGGTCAACTGCAAAATGTTACGGCTGACACAAAATCCTACCAGCGGACTTCTGATGTCAACAAATTCAGTATCCATGATTTGAAGAAATGATGGAATCGGGGTTGTAGAGAAGCAGAGGAGGCTGGAAGAGTCTGGAACAGAGAAATTAAGAGGAACTGACTGGTGAAAGGAGGTCTCTGTATATTTAAATGGTTATAATGAGGCCTCCTGACACTTGGCCAATTGGGGTGTTAGTTCTGACTTAAGAATATTTTTCAGGGAGGAGGGTGTAGCTCAAGAGTTCAAGAGCACATGCTTAGCATGCATGAGGTCCTGGGTTCAAGCCCCAGGACCTCCTCTAAAAATAAATAAATAAACCTAATTATCCACTCCCTCCAAAAAGAATCTTCTTCATGAATGATTTTGAAGAAAAATTAGGATTTTAAAGATATAAAAAAATATTTTTGTACGAGAAAAAAAGTGAGATATAAAAAAAATTTTCTGTGGCAACTGACACTACTTATGCAAAGAAAGAAAGTTCAAGTTTTGTCACTTGGAGTCAAAATTAATAACCTGAGTATTTTAAGTATCTGGGACCATTAATATAGCATTACACTGCATTTAAATGAGTCATTCCTAAAGATAGCATCTTACCTGCCTCACATGTTAAAACATTAATTAACCCCTCCAAGAGGACAGAAATAATCTCTTAGAGGAAGCAAAAAAAAAAAAAATAAACTTGAAATTCAACCTCTTGGCTAAGGTTTTGGTTAAATATAGTATCTTGAAGCCTCATCAAAATGAATTTCTCCAAGTCTTTTCATTCATTCATTCATAAACAAAATTAATTTACTCATTAAACATGCACCGTAGGCCTCTCCTGCACCCACCAACGGCTTGGCCCTGGATTTGGAAAGACTCAACACACAGTAACCAGTAAGCTAAAAAACAAACACACTAACGAATACAGCCTAAATGCCCCCAAACACGCTGAGAGACACGCTTCCCATGCAGAGCTAACTGTGTCTGGACATCACCCACCTCTGCGGATGAAGCCTTCATCTGAGTTATCAGATTACTAGCCTGGGTAAATCCTACAGAACACTGGGGTATGAATGACTCTGACATCCCTAACTGTACACACTTTTCAGAAATACTATTTCCATGGAGTAAACCTGCTTTAAAATTCACAGTAACTCAGCCACAGAATTTATAAGCTCTGAGAGCCAAAACGAGTGCCATGACAAAGATTCTCTCTTCACAAGGCACTCATACCTTACACATTACAGGCCTACCGGAAATGGCAGTTAACTCCATCTTTTTTCTGCTTAAACTGCATCACAACCTTTGTGAACAGTTCTGGGAGGGGAACACCACCTCCCTGTTTGGTCCGATGGTACACAGCCAGCGCACAGCTACACACAGGTGAGGACCATTCCAGGACTCCGAGGCCAGGACCGCCTCCCGCCACGCATGAACCTTTGTGGCAGGTGAACAGTCCGCTCCAACTAGACAATGGTCATCAGATTCGTTTCCAAGTAAGTTTACTGAACCACTGGCTAACGGAACCTGAATTCCTGGCTCTACACCACACCTTCCCTAAATGTCCTGTAACTTGGAATCCTCAGATGGGGGTGATAAGGGAAGGGATGTGTCGTGGGCAGGAGTTTATACCTGGGGAGGCAATAGATCTGAGCTCCAATCCCAGGTCCAACCGATGACTCTGTGGCCTTGTACAAAACATTATCCCACTGCTTCAGGTTTCTGCCTGTTTATCAACAAAATTAGGATGTCACTTAATAACGACACTAGTGTTTAATAAACACTTATTTTAAGAGCTTTCCTTTTAATATCCTGTCTAATCTTCATAACCATTTGGTTATAAGGGCAGTAAGCTAGCTTGCTCAAGTCAGTGGTGGTGCCAGAATGTGACATTATATTGTCTGGCTCCAGAATCCCTGCTCCCTAGAGAGGTGGTTCTGACCCAGAAAGCTTCATCCCGGACATTCTGATTCAGTAAAGCCGAGGAGAAGCCTAGGAATTTGACATTTAAGAAATATGCCAGGAGAGATATGTATACAATGGAATACGACTCAACTGTAAAAAGGAGTGAAATAATGTCATTGGCAGCAGCACGGATGGACCTAGAGATGATCATGCTAAGTGAAGTCAGTCAGTCAGAGAAAGACAAATATCGTATGATATCACTTGTATCTGGAATCTAAAAAAAAATGACACAAATAAACTAATTTACAAAACAGAAAGAGACTCACAGCCATAGAAAACAAATTTATGGTTACACGGCGGGGGGCGGGGGAGATGGATAAATTAGGAGTTTGGGATTGGCTGGTACAAACTACTATGTACAGAATAGTTAACAATGTCCTACTATATATCACAGGGAACTATATTCAATGGCTTAGAGTAACTTGTAATGAAAAAGAATGTATGTATGTGTGTGTGTATGTGTGTGTATATATATATACATATATATATATAGACTGAATCACTATGTTGTACACCAGAAACTAACACAACATTATAAATCAACTACATTTCAATTTAAAAAAAGTAAGAAAAAAGAAATATACCAGGGTTATCCTATGATTGGGTAAGTTTGGGTAACACTATGCTGCCAAGAATATAAAGCTTATAAATAGATCATAAAGTGTCCTACCAGTTAAGGGATGATTCCTGCCCTCTTTTGGGGGAAACAGAAATGTTTAGATGACTCCAGGGCCACTCACGGTGGTGGCTGGGCCTGCTCCTTCTGGCCGGGGTTCCAGCTGAGGAAGGCTCCCATGCCCTGAGGCCCCATCCCCTGAGTACCCACCCTGACAGCCCACGGCATGAGAACTGGACTCAAAAGCACTTTGCAATCTGGACCAGAGTCATGATTCTGCCCATCCTTTCCAGGCAAGGCAGTGGGTGAGTCACTTGACATCTCTGAGCCTCAATTTTCTCATCTGTGTAAGATGGAGGCAAGAGCTGGCTGACAGAGTTGGAAGGATTAGCAAACTAAGGTAAACAAGAAGGTGTGCTTTATTAACCTTTATTAAGTGTAAAGGGCTAAACAACATAGGATCGTTACTAACCAGCCGTTCTCCATGTGTGGAGGCGCCTGTCCTCACTGGCTGATGCTCTGCCCATGAACGCAGTGGCGGGTGGTGCTGGTGGGCTCAGAGGGGGGGAATGGAATGGTGCTTGGCTGCCTGAGCTGCCCGAGGATGATCAGAAACGTCTAAGAAAAAGAACTTTTCTCTAAGATAAACTTCATTGCAAATTTTCAGCTGCATGCCAAGAAAATGCTTAACTACTGGGGAAAAAAAAAAAGAATTTTCCAAAATTTCGCAGAAAACACACTAGCAGGGAACGTGCTTTATTAGGGACTTGGTAAGAAAGACCTTTAACCCTGGCTAAACATTAACAATGATAATTCAGTGATTTAACTGGAAACTTATTGTTACTTAAAAGAACTGCAGTTTGAAAGAGGTAAGACTCTGGTCGCCCTGGTTTATTCAGTTAAGGGCTGGAGGTGTGAAATGCCCTGTCAAAGTCACTGCAAAGTCACGTGGCCGAGACTCCACTGTGTGCTGGGCACTGGGCTCTCCATGTGTGACCAGATGGCTGAATTCTCACTGCAGCTCTCTACGAAATTTCCCATTTTGTTGTTATACAGAGAAATCAAGTGTCAAGCCCCAGATGACCCAGCCCAGAAGTGGCGGTTCTATCTGACTTTATAGCCCACTCCTGACCCTCCCAAGGCCAGAGGTGACATCCACCAAGAACGATCCAATCACTCAAGGAGGACTGCTAAACAGCATTAACAGCATTAAACAGCATTAGTTTCCTAATCTGCCTTTAAGCTGGTTATCTGTACGCAGTACACAGCGTTCCTTTCTTATGGGCGTGGCCACCCAGAAGATCAAATGATAAATCGGAAAGTCGAATCCCATGCTAGGAAGTAGATTCTTTCAAAGGGCATTTCCACTCAGCACTGGCTTTCTGTTGCATACCCTCCTCTATTCCTAGGATAGGTCTAGATGGAGACCTAGAGAATCAGGAAGACATGGGGAATTACTGCCTTCTGTCTGTCTCACCATCTTTTCTGCCCCCACCTCCCACCCCACAAGGCAGATCCCACTCTTATGTTAACTTCAAAACTCCCAGGTGACAGTACAATCATTTTTCGGTGCTCCTCAAGATCAACTTTGGGTTTGGTTACTTAATTTCTTATGATGAGTGAAGTTCTTATCCACTTCAAAAATGTTTTTTTCTATTGGTTTATACTTGAGATGGTGGCAAAAGCCTGTAAAAATAACAAAATATTACCAACTGCAGTACTTTGGATACATTCAGTTCCACATTTTGCCACCTACTTTAAAGAATCAAATCACAGATGATATATACTGTCTCTGAAAGTATTTTACCAACAGCAATTAACTAAAAAAAATAACTTTCAACTTTGTATACTGAAGTGTAGGTTTGACATGTATTCTAACTTAATAATTTAATAATTATTAATTAATGCTAACTTAATAATTAATAGACAAGTCAGCCTTAAAAAAAGTGACTTACTGCTGCTGATTTGTTACCTTTAACCTCAACAAAAGGTTGGTTCCACTCATGATTATATTCCAACCACATGCACCTAACCACCGCTTGCATGGTAGGGTGCAGACGCCATACTTCATTCTAAGACATCAGAGAGCAAAGAAGTTGGATGATGGATCTGTTCTAAGGGTCACTGCTGCTCTGAGTGTCCTCTCAGCATCCTTTGCAGGAAGTGAAGAGGGTGAAGGGATATTCCCCACCCCCCATCCTCAGGTAACACCTTGCTATACCCATCCACGTGGGACTTCAGAAAACTTTTACAGAATATTACAGAATTTACATTCTAAATATTTTACTGAGCCTGAATGACAGCTACCCCTTGCTGTACAGCTTCTTCTCTGAGAGCTTCGACCACAGATAGCATTCCTTTCCTGAAAGCCCATCAGATCTAAATTAAATGCCTGCACCCTCAGTCTAACCCTTGAATACATACTTAGAGCAATTACATATTAGAACTGCATAGGAACTGATACTCCTCTCCAAACACCATCACTTTAACAAGCTAGATGCCCGAGGTCCCTAAACCTCTTGGCAAAGC